ATATTGTAAAAAAAATCATCCAACGAAAATTACATAGATATCAACAAAAAAAAAAACTCCAAACAAGGATTTACATAATAATTGGATTTTGGGACGTCACTTACTAAATATTATTATATTTTGTTAACCAGTGTGAAATATAATGTCTGAAAGTGTTAAAATAACAATAAAAGTTATTAATTCTAACACGAATAAAAAAAAAACAATGTGTGATATTATTTCGAGAATTTTAAATGATAAAATAGAACGTTTTTCTTGTAGTTCTTCGTGTGGGGTTTTAATACAATATTAAATTGTATAGTTTGATGAAAGCATGTCATATCCACGAAATCATAATACGATTGTTAAAAAAACAGTGACTGAATAGTTTTACAATGTGTAGCAATACAAAATTACTGTACAGTAGTATTATGCAAAATAAGTCGTTATACATATTTTGTCAACTTAAAACAGGAAAAAATTATTTTTATTGGACGTGTTTTTAATAACTCACTTAATATTGTTATACTTCGAATGTCTAATCTGTAATGGGCACGAAAATTCAATTGATGGTATAAATGTATTAATATTTCTCACTGTTGGATACCTTGACTTATGTTTATCAGAAGTTTTAGATTAGCCGTCGATTTTTCGTAGGGGCAAGCCAGGATTGTACACCTAATAAATGCTCTGGTGTAAAGCCGGGTGTTGTTGATTTCAGTATGTAGTTCCTGACACCCACGATGGATTTAAGTAGACAATATAATGACAGACATCTTCTATTATTTTCTATTTCAATACATATACATGTCAACTAAATTTTTCTCATAGCTATTTCACGTGCATAGATTGGTTTGAATATTTTGGGGATAATGTGAACATGTGTGTTATATGTATGATGCGGTATGATGAGGGTGATTGGTGGGGAGTATACATGATCATTATTATTACATGTCAACCTGTGTCCATACTGATTTTAAAATTTTAATTTTAACTGTTTTCAATAATTGAATCAATAAATAATAATATATATTAATTCGTTTATATTATACCTAAAATATGTAGGTAATTGAAAATAAACCTATGCCTTAAACAACTGCAAAACCCTTTATATTTTTCATTAAAACTACCTTAGCGGCTGACCAATGTTGGTACCTCTAGTAGTTTGATTTAAAAAGTGTAAATATTTTTGATTTGATAAAAAAGTTTACTTTGCAGCGGTCGGAGCACATATTATATTCAATATTTTTAATGTATTTATAACGAATTGAAAAATTGATAAAATTTAAAATATATATTCCCGTCAAGCATTTGTTAAAATTGAAAAAATGTTCCGACCGATACAAAGTAATCTTGTTTATTCATTCAAACATCTTTACATTCTTTAAATAGGACCTTTGGAAGTAGGTACTAATATTTTTGTCAGTCCTATAACTATTTCACTTCCATAAATTGATTTTGAATACTTTAATCTACTGACCAATTAATATCATGTGGGTGCTTAATATGTATGATGTGGGTGATTGGTTGGGAGTATAAGCACACTAATAATAATTTATTACACACTTAAAGATGAACAGTGAGCTCAAGGAACAAAATAATATTGCCTAAACACAACTCTTTAAAAATCACACGTTTGCATAGGCCTTAATGACCTTTATGACGTAGCAGGTAAATATTTACTTTTATTATGATCAATTTATACAAATTGAACTCGTATACTGTATAATCAATATCTATTAGTTTTATTAACTGTTTCTTATTTGTTTCATAAAATACGGGAGAACCCAAAATGTTTTTTTTATGTACTCGGTTAATCAGTTTGGTAGAGTATAATAAATAATAATATTAAACAACATTCAAACGAAGGAAGCTATTAACTTATTTCTGTCATTATTTGAATTCCCCCCTAACTACCTGTATTTAGGAAATTAAAAATATATCTGCTCGATAAACTTATTTAAGATTTACTTTTAAGGTGAAATCAAAAATATTAATAATGCCAAAGACACGCGCCGTGCGCTTCAGAGAATTTTATCATATTCGAATATTATAATATCGAATAGTGTAAATTGTGTTTGCTGTATAATAGGTATACTTGTTTTTATCTTTTACCCTACGACGCCACCCACATAGCAATTCCGTAATATTTATATTACAATAATGTTCCTCCCTGATTAAATTCAGAATATTTATAGTTTAATATAACTATAATCTTAGTAAAATATTAAAAACAGAATATTACACACGAAACATTTTTTAAATATTTTCAATGGCCTATTTTTGTAATATTATGAAACTAGTAATGTCAGAATGTTTCAAGAATATTATGTTTATAATATAAAATAATATTGCATTTGAAATATTTCTTACATAATACTGTTAGGTTTTTTTTTTAATATTAAAAACTGAATTTTGTAAAAATATTTTTGAAATATACAGCTTACAATGTTTTAAATTACTATTTTTTAGATATTTTTTTATTTTGTCTAGATAAAATTACATCCCTCACTCCCCCACCTAATTTTGAATAATACCAAAATCATCCTTATAAGTAAATCATTGAATTTGTAGGAAAACACATTTTTAGATTCTGAGCGGAGCGAGGAAGCTAGTGGTTTTACAATGTTTATTTTTATTTTGTTTTTTATCCTGTAAACAAAATTTCTACCAGAAGGAGTGCTTCGATTACAACATATTATAGTATCTTATATTTTAGCAAATTGGATCTAGATGGTACTTATTAATGAGGTAATTTTTCGAGAATTTTCCCAATTATTATTTAACGCAACGGGAAAACTTAAGAAAATTTACATAAAACTGCTAAAAACGGGATTTTAATTCTAACCGGTTTTTCTTTTTTTTTTTAAGTAGGAACTAGGAGCCACGATTTAAACACGATTAAAATCTATTTTATCATAGAAAGTGTGGTGTACTGGCGTACCTCGCCATAATTGTGACAATTTTGTTATTAAAATTACTATTATAAGTATTATCAGATATTACTTATTAGTTATTACATAATATTTGGTATGGAATAGTTGACGGGCGAATAATCACAGTAATATGATATTAGTAATTTACCCAGTCAGTTTAATGCGTTATTATTCGGACGAGAAAAAAAAGGGTTTTTCTAATAATAACTCATTAATCGTAGGTAATCGTATTACCATTCGGCGTTCAGCGTCGTTATATTTCCGTATTCTGTCATTCCACTATGATCGTTATCGTATTTATCTTACAATAAAATTAATCGAACGCTGCGGTCGCCGATTATTGTTATTTATTATTGATTATTATTATCGGCAGCGCAGACCACCCCTCCCCACTTTACCTACTAGTCGATCGATTGAACCGTTTGTGATTTTGCCATTCTCGATTAACACCAAGTAAATACTTCTGATGTGCGTTCTGAAACACACGAGATTTAGTTTCGATAACAAAAAATCTCATCATCAGAATTTATTATTTAACGAACGTGGTATCAACTATTAATAATCATCGGTTTCGTATCGGCGGAACCAGACGCAGATTGGAAACAAAGACAATATTAATAATACTTATTAATAGATACCACAAATATCTGTTGTTGTTTGTATCGTCGCCCGCTCACCCGTCGCGACGCGTCGGTCGTTGGTCGTTACCTACTCCGTACTCGTTACAATTCACAATTGATCACGTGCGTATTATCTTTATATTATTATATTATAATTTATATTCTCTACTTTGTTGTGATCACTCAGTTCACTGTTTAGATACAATAATAAATTTTTATTTATGAGGCATATGGACGCAGTCTCAAATACACACTAACCTGTAAGTCTGTAACAGTGACTGTCATACATAGAAGTTATTTTGTTGTAAGTATTAAATTATTTAATAATATTTTTATATTTTGGAATATTTGATTCTATCCGTATGTATCATATGTATGACGTATGTGGATTACCTATTGATACAATTAGAGGAATATATACCAGTAATAGTCTACTATTGTCTACGTCGTACAAATGCATTATCATAATAGGTTATGTGAATAATCTATGTAGGTAACTCTGTTATACTTAAAATTATTGTAAATTGTGATTTTCTGTCTTACCACACACGTGGGATATAGGAATTTAGATGTGTTTTAATATGTCAAACATACCGATTGGTTTATTGAAATCTGTACGTATTTGACATAGAACATGACACACGTTTAAATTCATAATATAATATTATGTTCCATGTGTGTTAGATTAATACAAAAAATCACCACTTATCCCCTTTAAAATATTTAGTACACGTAAGCCCATAACAATATATATTAATTGTAATGTTTAAGTTTCATCTCATATTTTTGTCAAATGTTAAACTTTGTATCTATTACAAGACGTATCTTACAGTTATAAATTAGGTTAAGTAAATGGTAATCTATTACAGAATACAGTTATATATTATAGGTATTGTTATACTTAATATAATAAAAATATCAAATATTAAATAGGTAAACAAATATTTGCACTTTTTGGAATATATTTTATTATTTTAAGTGTAAAATTCCTTATGCATAATATTAAACAACACAGAGTTAAATAGATTACTGGGAGCATAATATGATTTGTAACATCATGTAGGACCAGACAATTTTGTAAGACAATGCGTATGCGGGTGTATAATAATCTTAAAAACAAATTCATTGAGAACTTTGATTAGAACATTTTGAAAGTAACCATATATAGCCAGTTGTCAATAAGGTACAAAATATATTAAATTTAACATTATACCTAATTTGATGTGTAATACATAATATTATGCGTTTTCGGTTACATTATAGGTACCTAATAATATATATTTTAACAAAATAACATATCAATTACAATAATTTCTTTGATGAGTAACCTACCTATCTTATTCATATTTCTTATACATTTTGAAAAAAAGTAGGTATATAGGAATCTAACTTACCTATATATATGTTTTAGTTTTTTAGCACATCAAATTTTTTCTGTAATTGTGCCTTTGATATTTTATATAAAATGATAAAAAGTGAACGCACCAAAAAAAGAAAAATTCAAAATGAACTCAATATTCTTGAACTTATAGAAACTAATAAGATAACTTCAAACCAACTTTATTGTTCCAAAAACCTCGCTGATAATCATGAAAATAGTCCATTACATGATAATGATCCTTCAAATATTTCTCCAGATGTATATGTACCTCAACACTTACAAAACATAACACCATGCATTACACCTACTATACTAAATGAGCCAAATGTTATGCCTGAATATTCTGAAAATACTGTAAATCAACTTCCCGAATCTGGTTTTCAAGATGCTGTGTCTATAAAAGACTTTATTGCTAGTTGGTCAATTACATTTAATGTACCTCATAATGCTGTCAATAACTTGCTTAAAGGTTTAAAAAAACACAAATGCTTCAAAGATTTTCCAGTTGACTCTAGAACGTTATTGGCTACTCCCAAACAAACTTCTACAAAATTAAGAAGTGTTGATCCCTGCGGCACATATTTTCATTTTGGATTAACAACTGGTATTATGAAATATACTCCAGATAATATGCTGAACGTAGAAATTGTTATAGGCATAGATGGACTTCCACTATTTAAGAGTAGTGGTGCACAATTTTGGCCAATCTTGGGATATGTAATAGTTTCACCTCCATTATTAAAAAAAGTTTTTCCTATTGGAATTTATTTTGGATATGAGAAGCCCAAAGATAGCAATAATTTTTTATCCGATTTCATTACAGAAGCTAAAGATTTGATTAAGAACGGTTTAATTGTAAATCAAGTAAAAAGAAAAATCATAATTAGTGCATATTGCTGTGACGCCCCCGCAAAGGCTTTTGTTTTAAAAATTAAAAGCCATACTGGCTTTTCTTCGTGCACACGCTGTACGATTGATGGACAATATTTGAATAAAAGAGTATGTTTTCCATATTCAAAGAAGAAGTGCACAGAGAGAACTCATCAGGCTTACACTAATTTTATAGATGATGATTTTCAGACATCTCAGACTCTTTCTGTACTTAATGAATTACCAGGATTCGATTCAGTTAAACAATTCTCTCTTGATTATATGCACCTGGTATGCTTAGGAGTCATGAAAAAGTTGATGCTTCTATGGATACAAAAAGGTCCTTTACACGTCCGCCTTAATTCAAGAAAAGTGAAGGAATTGTCTTTATCATTGATATCAATGAATCTAGGTATCACATCTGATTTTTCAAGAAAGAGTAGAAGTATGAACGAAATTCATCGGTGGAAGGCTACAGAATTCCGATTATTTTTGTTGTATACAGGTCCGATTGTCTTAAAAAAAATTATAAGTGATGAATGTTACACTAATTTTATGGCTCTGAATATTTCTATGATAATACTTCTTAGTCCAGATCGCAGTAGTCTTATACCTTATACTAAACATATTTTAGATTATTTTGTAATGAGTTTTCAAAAAATATATGGAAAATATCTCTTATCACACAATATTCATGCTTTATTACATTTATGTGATGACTACCAGCAATTCGGTCCTCTAGATAACTGCAGTTCATTTTTATTTGAAAATTATATGAAAAAAATTAAGTCTTTGGTAAGAAAAGCAGATCAACCATTAGAGCAAGTAATTAATCGTTATTCTGAAATAAATTCAATTAATAGAAAAGAATCTTTTAATTTAATAAATTATAATGACAAATCAGAATTAAAGCACCCACATAACAATGGTCCAATAACAAAAAATATCAATGGACAACAATATTATACTTTAATATTTAGTCAATTTAAAATTAATGTTAAATTTAATAAAGATTGTACTATTTTGACCAACAATGGAGAAGTAGTAAAATGTTTAAATATTATTCAAGTATCTGATGAAATATTACTAATTGGTAAAAAGTATGAAACATTATTACCATTTTTCACTGATCCTATAAATTCTACAATCTTGGAAATATTTATATTGGATAATTTATCAATGAATTTAAATTGTTGGAAGTTAACAAGCATTAAAAAAAAACTTATGGTTCTGGAAAATGATGGTACTTTAATAGCCATGCCTATTATACATACTATTGGACACAATGAATAAATCTGTTGTCTTAGTAAATTAAATATCACAGGTTTTTATAAATTACCAATTTAATAATATAATCTTATCTCAATACGTAGTAATTTTTTATTTTTATTATTATTATTTTTAGTAAAATGGAAAACTATTGGATTGTTGTATATTTCACGGATGAAAATAGTGTAGAGGCCGTACCAAATATTTGGCTTAACAAAAAACAAGATACATGCGCTTGGCCCGCCAAAACAAAAAATGTAAAGAAATTTATTGAATTTCAACAAAAACCCAATAAAAAAGATTTTACTTATCATCCTGCTAGAAAACTAGGAAAAAAATCTTACAGTAAATTTTAATTGTTTTTATGAAAGCAAATGATGTATAATTATATAACTAATAATATATTTTCAATATTTAAACTATATAGCATCTTTAGCTGAAACCAGATCCAAATTACCAAAAGCTACTCGTATGTCTGATTTTTCTAGTACAGACGATGAAGATAGGAAAATCAAAAAAAAATCACTAAGTATATCTCCTGACATGTTCAAAACTAAAAAAGACCATTTAGCAAATACATGCCCAGAACCAAAAAAATATTGCGATTTTATTAAAGAAGGTATAATGACATAATTTTATGAAATATTTTCTTCAATTAGTAATTTACAATTAATGTTTGTAACATTATTATTTTAATCTTAATGTTATTATTTGTTTAAGATTGTGTTGCAACAACTAGCTCACTAGTCAACAAAAAAAGAATTTATGATAATTTATTAGTACCTTCAGATTCTTCAAATGCAGATGATTCAGACACTGATCCAAAAAAATCAACAGGCTATTCAAAAGTATTATGCTCTCCAACTGCAAATTGGACTGTGGATAACATTGATAAAAATATAATTTATGAAAAGGATAAAAATGGCGACACTTTAAGAGTGAAAAGAGTATTATTTCATGAAAATAATATACCAAAGAAATCAAGTATGTATTTTAGGTAGTTACAATAATTAACCTACATTTTTATTTATTTTAAATTAGTATATTATACATCATATATTTTTAGAAATATTCCAAAACGAATCAAATACATCTACACAAAATAATTTTAACTTTGAGTCTATGAAGTCAGATAATCCAGGTAATAATTAATTACTTATCAAATATTATTATTATTCTAAATTACTAATTAGCAATTAATTATTAATTATTTTTAACAGATTATGAAAAATATATTTTCACAACAGTATATGAAATATGAAATAAATCTCATATGAAATACGATATTAATAAAATGATGAGTATTATTAATGTCATGCATACAAATATAGAGTATATAAGGTTGGGAACTTATAATTTACATTTTAGTATAAAAAATATTATTAGGTATATATAAAATGTCACTACATATATGAAATAAAAAGTTAAGCCTATATATCTACCTATAAATTGTAAGAAATTCTACTAAATATAGTACCATAGTTTCTTACAATTAATATATAGACTTAGTTAGTTTTTCATTTTATATGTAGTGACATTTAATAAATAATAATAATTTTTATACTAAAATGTAAATTATAAGTTCCCAACCTTATTATACTCGGCTTTATTAAATGTTATAATAAAATGGTCATGTTGTTATAAAGTTATATTGTAGATCATCAGTAGGTTTTAAGAGTTTCCTTAAAAGTTCTTCACTGTTACCTCAACTATTGCATATTGACGCCAAAATTATAGTATTTTTTAATTTGGAAGTATAAATTTCGATTTTATAATTGTATTATGTTCTAATTAATAATAAGATAAAGTTTTGATATCTATTTTAAAATATCTAGTTCCTTTCTTCATAATTTTTAATATTTGCTTAAATATATTGTAATATTTTTAAGGTAATGATCACAATACTATATCTATCAGTCCTACTCCATCTCCAAAAAAATCAACAGGCTATTCAAAAGTCTTATGCTCTCCAACAGCAAATTGGACTGTGGATAACATTGATAAAAATATAATTTATGAAAACGATAAAAATGGCGACACTTTAAGAGTGAAAAGAGTATTATTTCATGAAAATAATATACCAAAGAAATCAAGTATGTATTTTAGGTAGTTACAATAATTAACCTACATTTTTATTTATTTTAAATTGGTATATTATACATCATATATTTTTAGAAATATTCCAAAACGAATCAAATACATCTACACAAAATAATTTTAACTTTGAGTCTATTAAGTCAGATAATCCAGGTAATAATTAATTACTTATAAAATATTATTATTATACTAAATTACTAATTAGCAGTTAATTATTAATTATTTTTAACAGATTATGAAAAATATATTTTCACAACAGTCACTCATATGAAATACGATATTAATAAAATGATGAGTGTTATTAATGTCATGCATACAAATATAGAGTCTCTGATGGATAGTTTGACGGATAAATCTGTAGCAAACTGTGCGTTATCACGTGATAATCATCAGGATGTAGATTTACATTCTATATTTCCAATAAACACTGATGAGCAGCTAATAAGTATCGAATCTAAAATTATCCAAGATACTCAATTCCGGAACATTTTGGTAAAATTCAAATATTATTAGTTTTTCCTAATATATTATTTATATATTGTTAATTAAATGACCAATTTGTATAAAATATATAGTTTTAATTAAAATTAAATTATGCTCATAACTTAATTTTAAATTACAGATATTTTTTATGAATGTGTTTATAAGACTTGTTAAATTAAAAAAAAAAAAATGTAATCATGTACCTATTTTATTATATTATATTTAGGTTTCAAAACTATCTTTGATCGCAGTTGCTTCGGATTTGGGTCACAGCCTTCGAAGAATAGTTGCCAAAATGTTTGATGATGAATTTTTAGTAAATTATTCACTCATTGGGTTTAAAAAAAAAAAACCGTTCACTAAGTTGATGCTATATCGTGTTGTTATAGGTAATATTTTAATCATATTAATCACTATTAAAATAATGATGTATTTGTCAATTTGACATAATGTTGTTTTAATTTAAAACATTATTATTATACTAGATTCCCTAAGAATGCACGTCAAGTATAAAATGGCTACGGATCGAGAAATTGAACTACCACTGGGCGTTTGGTTAGCACATGCACCGTTCAGATTGTTGAAAAAATTGAAATGATCATTATGACCACCAATATTATTTTATAAAATTGTTTGAACATTAAGAAGATGTTTAGTTTTTTTTTTCTTTAAGCTGATTATTATTATTTTTGTTATTAATTTATATTCATCATATTATTATAATTCTAAGCTGGCCTAAATTGTCAGTAGCACCTATCCTGTTTGTATTGCTTATGCTGTTCTGCATCGGTTGGTGTCTTAAACTATATAGCCATAAATAAGATAGTTTTGAGGTTAATAAAAATTATTATATTATAATTTTCTTGATATTTATCTATTGTTGTTTTATTGTATTATAGGTTTGTGATTCATGCTCATGCATAATATAATTTATAGTTTATATTATTGTAATAACACAATTCTTACTGTTGTTAATATGTTATTACATTTCCCTAGTTAACATTATCTAATATTAATTAATAGTTGTTATGCAGCATATTATTTTATTTCTTCACTTTAATTCCTATTACCTACGTACATTTTATTAAATTTTTTAAATTTCAATGTTTCAATGCAATAATGCAATCAATTTAGTATGGTTTTAAAAACAGTAACTTAACTACCCTAATCATCACATTTGTTTCCCTTTAATTTGTATAACAACAGTATTACTGGAATATAAAAGATCATTAACAGAATGTTAAGTGAATAATATTATAAGAGTATTGTTTTATTAACATGATGATAATGTTATAAGACTAAGATTATGATAATATTATAGTATAATATTCTCAGAATATGAAAATTGTTGACAAAAAACTTTCTGAGAATATTACAAGAATATTTAAAAAGATTGAAGGAACCTAATGTAGAATATTGTTATTTTATATTTCACATTGCTAGAATATTATTATAACATAATTTTGCTATCTGGTGCATTGTTTGATCAAAAAAAAAAAATCATTCTTATTATTATTCATTGAAGTTATTATTGTTATTATTGTCGTAGCAGTTATAAACGAGACCGACTGGTTATATGCTAATGGCAAGCGTGCGCGCGGGCGCGAAAATAATAACGCGCGCATTATACGGTAGCGGTGGCGCCTCGGCCGAGAGGAAATTAAATCAGGCGCCACGACCTGCACGTTCCAGCGACGAGGTTGGAAAAGACTACGAGCGCGTGCTCAGAGCGTTATGGCGGGAGAGAACAATTTGTCAATCCAATTGCCGGGCCATTTAAGCCGACAATTGTCATAATTAAAACAACCGTCAGTTTTGATTAAACAAGTGAGTTCGAGTCAAGCCAGTTTTTTCCTACCGACCCGCCTTTATTTTATCGTGCTCGAACAATAAACATGAACGCGACGAGATAACGGCCTTCCCCCCCAGCCGCCGCCACTAAAGCGCAGCTGATCATCGAGTTTCCTCCTGCTTCGTTTGTCCCCCTCATCCCCATATCCACCCGTTCCACTACACCGTCAATGTTGTTTACCGCCGCGTCTTCGTACAGTCATGTTTTCTTGGCGACTGTTTAATGGAAAGGAATGGAGTATAATCAAGCCTTCGACCATAAATTGGACACACGAGAAGCTAAGAAACGAGCCAACCGTTCGGTCGACGACGGCGGCGGCGCGACGTTTGCCGGTCGCATTTAAATTGAACCGTCTCGATGACGAGGGGATGGGTGGGTGGCTGGTTGGTTGGGTAGACGACGACGACGTTACGCGCGCAAAGGTCGCGGATGACATGTTTCGCCTCTTTATTCTGTGTTTAATTATCTCGAAACGCGATATCCGCCTCGATGACTTCTGAACCACCCCTGGTGTCGCAGGGGTGCCCGGAAGCAAAGGGGTCAAAAGGAGATTTCAGCCGTTTCCACGACGTTGTTTTTCTGTTTCAGCTGC